CTTGATTCCTGGACCCATGAGTCCTGGCTATGGGAGAAACAGTTCCATATAGTGGATGCTAATTCAGAGCATACACGGCCTCATGGAGAACTTTGCCCCAGCCCTGCAAACTATTGTCACCTAGTTTATGTTGTAATTATGATTTCAAAAGGCCATTCCACCATTTTATCAATCCAGCTGCTTCAGGATGATGGGGAACATGGTAAGACCAGTGAATTCCATGAGCTTGAGCCCCCTGCTGCACTTCTTTAGCTGTAAAGTGAGTGCCTTGGTCAGAGGCAATGCTGTGTGGAATACCATGATGGTGAATAAGACATTCTGTCTTAGTGATAGTCTTGGCAGAAGCATTGTGTGCAGGATAGGCAAACCCATATCAGAATTAAGCGTCTGTTTCAGTAAGGACAAACTTCTACCTTTTCCATGTTGGAAGAGGTCCAACATAATCAACCTTCCACCAGGTAGCTGACTGATCACCCTGAGGAATGGTATCATATCAAGGGCTCAGTGTTGGTTTCTGCTGCTGGCCCTAGTCTTCCCTTCCTCTGTCAACTGACCTTAGGGAACTCCCCATGAGGCCATCGGTACAGGCTAGGGAAGAGAAGGTAGGGTGACAGGAGTGGATACCATGAGCTTTGAGCCACTTCCTCATGTACCTTACTTGTGCCTTCAGGACCTGCTCTAGCCCGATCACATATATACCACTTCCATTTGTTGATGGAATGCTGCTGTGCATGACCTACTTTATGGCTAGATGGATCAGAAAGCACCCAGTGCATGATAGGCAGTTTAGGACACATGGTGACTTGATGACATATAGCCAAATGTTCAGTTTCCACCAAAGCCCAGTAACAGGCCAAGAGCTGTCTCTCAAAAGGAGAGTAGTTATCTGCAGAAGATGGCAGGGCCTTGCTCCAAAATCCAAGAGGCTTCCAATATGATTCACCTATGGGGGCCTGCCAAAGGCTCCAAAGAGCATCCCTACCTGCCACTGATACCTCAAGCACCATTGGATATGGGTGGTCATATGGCCCAAGTTGCCGAGCAGTTTACACAGCAGCTGGAACTGGTTGCCGAGCCTTCTCCTGTTCTGGACCCCACTCAAAAGTGAGAGTCTTTCAGGTCAATCAATATATGGGCCAGAGTAACACACCCAATTGAGGAATGTGTTACCTCCCAAATCCAAATAAGCCCACTAGGCATTGTGACTCTTTCTTGGTAGTAGGAGAGGCCAAATGCATCAACTTATTATTCACTTTAGAAGGACTGTTTTGACAGGCTGCACACCACTGGACCCCTAGAAATTTTACTGAGGTAGAAGTCCCTGAATTTTAGTCGGATTTATTTCCCACCATCTAACACGCAAATGTCTCACCAACAAATCCAGTGTCTTTGCTACTTCTTGCTCACTGTATCCAATCAGCACAATGTCATCAATATAATAGACCAGTGTGATGCTTTGTGGAAGCAAAAAGCAATCAAGGTCTCTCTGAATGAGATTATGGCATGAAGCTGGAGAGTTGATATGCCCCTGGGGTATGAGAGTAAAGGTATATTGCTGACCTTACCAACTGAAGGCAAATTGCTTCTGATGGGTCTTATAGACAGGAATGGAGAAAAGACATTTGCCAAGTCATACCAGGTACGAGGAGATGTGTTAATCTGCTCAAGCAATGAAACCACATCTGGTATAGCAGCTGCAATTGAAGTAACCACTTAGTTTAGCTTACAATAATCCACTGTCATTCTCCAAGATCCACTGTCCTCTGCAAAGGCCAAATGGAAGAGTTGAACGTGGATGTGGTGGAAATCAACACCCCTGCATCTTTCAAGTCCTTGATAATGGCACTAATCTCTTCTCTCCGTCCAGGGATGAGATATTGTTCTTGATTTAATATTTTTCTAGGTAGAGGCCGCTCTAATGGCTTCCATTTGGCCTTTCCTACCATAGTAGCCCTCACCCTACCAGTCAGGGAGCCAATGTGGGGGTTCTGCCCACTGCTAAGTATGTTTATGTCAATTATGCATTCTGGCACTGGGGAAATGACCACAGGATGAGTCCCAGGACCCACTGGACCCACTGTAAGTTGGACCTGAGCTAAAACTCCATTAGTTACCTGACCTCCATAAGCCCCTACTTTAACTGGAAGACAACAATGATGTTTTGGGTCCCCTGGAATCAGTGTCAGCTCAGAGACAGTGTCCAGTAGTCCCCGAAATATCTGATCATTTCCATTTTTCCAGTGCATAGTTACACGTGTAAAAGGCCAGAGGCTTCCATGGGAAAAAATGTAAGGAAGACCAACAGCATAAATTGTCTGTAATGTAGTGGGGTCCTTCCCCAAGGGGACGTGGTCTTCCTTTTATTCAAGAGGTTCCGGGTCTGTAAACTGGGTCAAGTCTGGAAGTTGACTGAGAGGCCATGATTCTCTGTTTTTATAATTCAAATCAGTCTTTTGTCCATTTGACCTAAAAGTTTTCTGCCTATATAAATTAAGTAGGACTGCAGTAGGCTTCCTCTCAATTACACTTCTAGTGACACTATAATTAATTAACCAATGCCAGAGCTCTACATGTGTCAGACTATTCTGATTGCTGCTTTGCCTCTGCTGTCCATTACGATAGCTATGCCCACCTTGCCTTTGATGGTTGTGTCCTGCCACTTGGCCCTTGCCACCTCAGGATCCAATTATTCCAATGGTTTTAAGTTTTGTCATTGAGGGACTGTGGTTTCCATTGTTTGATCTGACATACAAATAAGAGCAATTACAGGGCTTTTCAAAGATGCAAGTGCTGCCCTCACTAATCTGTTTTGCAAGGCATTGGTCAAGGTTATATCTTCTGGACCCTCCCAGCTGGGAAGAGTAGGTCTAAAGTGACTAATCCACACCATCCCAATCTCCCAAAGCCATTGGATTACTTCCTCTACATGAAACCAAGGGAGATCGGGCATTTCCAGCTCAGTCACAGTGGGTCATCTTTTATCCATATTTTAACTAACCAAGCAAATAAACTATTAGAACCTTTTTTTTTAACTCCCCAAGCTGCAACATTAAATGCAGAGTCACTGGTTGATGGGTCCAAATCAATACATTTAGCCTGATCCAACTCTATGTTCCTTCCACCATTATCCCATACTCTTAGCATCCATTCCCATGCCTCTTCTCCAGATTTCTGTTTGTATTCATTAGAGAATTCAAACAGTTCTTTTCAAGTGTAGCACACCTCTTCATGGGTCACACTCTCAACCTTACCTCGGGGCCTGCCAGGACTTTAGTCTATTTATAGGTCTAGAAGCAAACAGGGGTGTTGGGGGTGGCTCCTGAGGAGAATCAACATTATCTTGCCTGGCAACTGCCTCAGGGGCGGTCATCACTGTTGCCTCAGGCAGCACAGGGTTTAACTCCTCAGACAAAGGTGAAAAGGATGATGGCAGCATGGGTTGTGGGGAGGATGTTGCCACAACTGGGTATGGGGAAGCTGTTTTTTCTGGCAAAAAAGATTCATCGGAGTTTATAAACTAAGTGTCCCCAGCTTCATCAGGGTCATCCCCCAGCTTCATCTCCCCCATGTCCCCATTCTAATTTTCGGGGTCCCATTCTTTGCCAATCAGTGCTCTAACTTTAATACTAGACACCTGGCAAGACTGTGTGTGCACCTTTTTTTGCAGGCCAGCCACTTGCATGTTAAGAGTTTCTGTCTATTTTTCCACAATTTCAGCTTTTTTTCAACAGAAGCTAAGTCTCTCACTCAGAACAATCTTAGCAGATTTGAGGCTCAGTATCTGATTCTGAAGCCAGGAGTTAGAATCCCTGAGTTTATCATTTTATTTCATCACTTTGTCCACTGAACTTAGGAGCAACCAAATAGCTTCATTATGTTCCTTGGTTCTCCACATACAGTCAAAGGTATTATGTATAGAGTCACTATACTCCTTGCTTCTCATGAGTGATGAATCAGGAGTGCCAAATGCATTTATTTTGTGTAACACTCTAAAGAGTTCATGCCAAGGACTATGAGTGTTCTCCATTCTATCAGAAGTAGAGTCCTTAGCATTTTGGGGTCTAATATTAAGCAGCCAACTCCAGAAACCCCAAAACCAATGAAAGAATTCCATCTTTAATATTCTGTTCCTTTAGAACCTCTCTTCGTACCAAAAGTTGTCTTCGGTCTTAGGGCTCTCTAGAGGGAAAGATTAATAGGATAAATAAATAAATAAAATATAAAGTAGAACTTATTAAGTATTATCTTACATGATCACAAGGTCCCACAATAGGCCATCTGCAAGCTGAGGGGCAAGGAGAGCCAGCCCGAATCTCACAACTGAAGAACTTGATGTTAGAGGGCAGGAAGCATCCAGCATCGGAGAAAGATATAGGCTGAGAGGCTAGGCCAGTCTAGTCTTTTTCACATTTTTCTGACTGCTTTATAGTCTAGCCTTGCTTGCAGCTGATTAGATGGTGCCCACTCAGACTAGGGGTGGCTCTGACTTTCCCACCCCACTGACTCAAATGTTAGCCTCCTTTGGCAACACCCTCACAGACATGCTCAGGATCAATACTTTGCATCCTTCAATCCAATCAAATTGACACTCAGTATTAACCATCCCAGATGTCTGGCCATATTTATTTGATTCCTAAACAGAATGGAAATTAGCATATGTTAACAGTTCTTGGTTTCTCATTTTCTAAATTAAAACAAGTCTGGAATGAGTAAAATAAAGAGTTTGGCAAACTTGGTTTTAGCTAAGTTTACTTAATTCTCTTTATTTTCTATTTCCTATGAATGGTTTAACAACTCTTAGAAAACGGAAGAATATGCAAATGTTAGCTTTGAGTCTAACTGTTTTTCCACATCATAAGTGTTGATGTATTTTCAATGAAATTGGAAGCGCACCTTCAAGTAGAAATAAAAATGCCCAAGCTGATTCACTCTTGAGTGTAGAAGACAAAGTTCATAACTGCCTGTGAGTCTGTAATGAGAATATCAATGCTGTTTTACAGCTTTTGCCAGCAAGAGAAGCTTCCAATGACCTTCCAGTCCTGTGTGATCACCAAAGAGTGCCAGGTTTCCGAATGGTCAGAGTGGAGCCCCTGCTCAAAAACATGCCACGACCTGGTGTCCCCCGCAGGCACTCGTGTAAGGACACGCACCATCAGGCAGTTTCCTATTGGCAGTGAAAAGGAGTGTCCAGAACTTGAGGAAAAAGAGCCCTGTGTGTCTCAAGGAGATGGAGTTGCCCCCTGTGCCACGTGAGTAAATAAAGAAGGGTACAGTGTCTGCCCAGATGGCATTGGTTCAGCTATTTGATTTTGACTGAGCAGTATGCATAGCAACAGTAATTGTTTACAAACAGTATCCTTTAAAAAAAAAGATTTTACAAAATAAAAGTGTCTTTGACAAACTAAACCTCCATGAAATTTTTAGCACCAATTCTATGTTTATATATTTTCTGTAATAGGAGTTGCCAAAATGTTTCTGTAAAGGGGTAGATAGTTAAAGCATTAAGCCTTGCAGGCTACACATGTCTCTGTTACAATGACTCAGCACTGCTGTTGGAGCTACAGGTAATATGTAAACAACTGAGTGTGACTGTGTTCCAATAAAATTTCATTAGTAAAAAAGGTGGCAGGTTATTTGTTCTTGGGCCAAAGTTTGTCAACCTCCATTCCACAAGGTAAAATAAACTTTCCAAATAATAGATTATTGTTAACTATTAAAATTTAGTATTGTGTATAACAAATTCTATTCAATAGAGTAAAATAATGCATCAAAATAACAAGACTTTAAGTTTCATGAGGACAAAGATTATGCTTACTAATATTGGCAAAGGGGTTGGGTTTTCGCTGTTTACTTTTTGTTTAATTACTAGCATGTATCACAGTACCTTGTACAAAGTAAGTGTTCAGTAAATATTCATTGAATTCAGATTAGGTAAGTCTCATTCTGAAACATTTGGCAGTATAACAGTGTTAAAATATCATTTCCAAGTTATTATTGTGAACTAATTTGGTAATAGCAATATTTCAGCTTAATCTGCATACAGGATATTAATAAAGTAACTTATGTTAGTTTTGCAATAGAGACGTGTGAGTTTCATAGAGCGCATCTCTGGATTATTCCAAACATTTAAAGAACATGCATATAGCTAGATCTTAATGAACCATTGAGGAGGCAAATTACTACTACTACTATTACTATAACAACAGCAACAAAATTAGTCGTGTTTTATACCAGATATGTAATTCTGCAGCACTTTGGACTCAACCACTGTGCTGTAATGTAAAAAGTGATGAAACCTCCACAGAGAATTTCCTCCCCAATGTCTCTACCTACCCCACTGATTGTTCTGGTTCCTCTCCCCATAATGGGCTCAAGGAAATTGCCAGGATTTCCTGTGTTTTCTCTCCTATGAATTTCTTCTATTTTTGTTGCAAGCTAGGTCCTTTATTCTTTTTTTCTCAGATATTCAAACACAATTAATGAAACAAATATATATTCTTGGGTATCTTTCTCCAGGCCTTTTTTGGGGGTAGGATTTTTCATAGAACATGTAATCAATTTACATTGTTCAAAGACTATTCCTCTGATTGGACTTTTTGGGATGAGCTAAATTGGATCTCTGATTTATTTTTTAAAAAACTTGTAACTCCCTTGACACATTTTCTGTTTGGTTTTACTTCCTCCCTCCCAACCCTGAAACCAGGCATCAATTATCCATGTTTCTAGAGTTGACCTGAGTGCTGTTCTTCTTTTATAAATTCATGTCATGTGTTGTTTCTTCATGACCCAGTCCTACAATTCTGTCAAGCAACAGATACCCACTTATAAAAATTAAAAACAGGCATGAAGTTCATCTTTACTGTCACAAAACCTTACCATTGACAGAGTGAATCATATAGATCAGACATCTGAGGGCCATTTAACCTTCTGCCTGATGCAGATGAACATTAGCACATCCATTTGCACCTACGTTGGCTGTTTATCTGATTACTAAGGAAGTATCATGCTTAAAGTGACACAAAGTGCTACCTGAGTCATTTTCTTTGTGCTTTTAGAATATCTATTTTCCTTGAGGTGAAGAAATGCCATCTCTTCCTATCTTCGGTGGCATCGGGAAATGGTTCCCTAGCTATCTCCTTCAATCACATGTTGGACTGACAATCTCCTGACATTTCTCATCATAATCTTGATTGGAGCTTTAATTGAGAATCATAGATCTTCTTTCCTGTGCTCCACTGATGAGAAGTGTCAGCTCTTTGCATCACGCATCAGCACTCATTAGGGATTCTCCATGCTTCAAAAAAAAAAAAAAAAAAACTTCTTATTCTTGACAATAAAGAGAAAACTCTGAATTATTCTCTTATAATTTTTAACCCTAATACACAATTATAATTTTGCTACACTGTGCAGTTTTCATTCATTTTCATAAAGGAACAGCAAATGTTTTGGTTCATCATCACTCAGAATGTTTTCCATTTTCATATTCAGTCCTCCTGTTTTTATAGGCAACAAGAAAGAGCAAGCTTGGGTTCAGCTTAATTGAACATAAAATTTCATGTTTTCAGCATTAAGCTCTCTTTTCATAAAATATTTATAAGTAACTTCCAGTAATTGCAATTAAAGCAGGATCACCCTAAATTTAACCCCTCATTAAATGGAGCGCTACAGAGCATCAAGAAGGAGCTGAAACCAAATATGCACCATAGATGTAGTGTATGACAGATTCTGTAGGAAGATGCTTTTGAGACTAATTTTCTTTAAAACAAAGTATAAGAGGAGTACGTAAACATGTTATTCAATAAACGTGGTTGCCACTGCTGTGTTTTCTTTATTTAGGTATGGCTGGAGAACTACGGAGTGGACTGAATGCCGTGTGGACCCTTTGCTCAGTCAGCAGGACAAGAGGCGCGGTAACCAGACAGCCCTCTGTGGCGGGGGCATCCAGACCCGAGAGGTGTACTGCGTGCAGGCCAATGAAAACCTTCTCTCACAATTAAATACCCACAAGAACAAAGAAGGTAACCTTTGCTTTCTTCTCAAGGCTTCACTTATAAAGACTATGCGATTGCTCTGAATGGATATGTACACTGCCATCTGGGCATGAGAGCTGAATTTCTGTTCACATTGTGGTGGTATTCACTCTAGTAAACAGTAATCCACACTGTGGTTGTGAAGGTATTTAATACAACTCCATCTTTGGTCAGTTCTGGTTTACTAACAAGCTTCTTTAAAATTTTGACTTAAAGGGCTTCTCGATTCAAACTCTCCATCAAACTCTAGCAGGAATAATTTTAAAACTAGAATAAAAAATTATCTGTAAGTATACGCATATCATGAAAATGTGTAGTCTGAATTCCAAAATTATATAAGAAGTAAAATCTGCTTGTCAAAAAAAAAAATCTATTTGGTTAAAACGTGGTTAAAAATAAGTTAATTATGATATTGAATAAAATTATCAATTAGAATTTAAATGAAATAAGTACAGAATAAAAACAGTAAAAGAAATCTTTAACCCAAAGGCATTTTTTTAAACTCTTTAATAATTTGGTAATCATATCTTTTTTTTTCTATTAAATCTGTTTCCAGACCAGGTGTAGTAAGTGTACAAAAGAAAAAGTGAATCCAATATGGCCCAAGCTAAAAGTACATATTTTAGATATTAATATGACTCTAAAATTATCATAATTACTGGATCAAGTGTACATTGAACTAGTAGATCTTAAGCTCACACACAAATAGGAACATATTTAAGCACTACTGTAAGCAGTCTATCTCCTCCTTCTGTCTGAAGAATAGCAGGACTTCTTTGGTTGGCCCGTTGAACATTTATCAACATATACGATTTGTTTAAGAGAGTGAGGATAACTATCAATACAGATTGCATGTCATGGACATCCTCAAAGCCATCAAGAGAGCATGTAGAGAAACCAGTAATTAAAATGCAATATGCTATGCCATACAATAAGTTTCGAAGTGAACATAGGGGAGTAGTGGAAACAGAGCCCTTTATGGCGGGAGTGACACTTAAGCTGAATGATGGCAAAGACACTACTTACAGGTAAGTATGGCAAGAGTGCATGAGGAAGTTTATTTTGGGCAAGGGAACAGTGTGTGTTAATGCAAAATGCTAAAGAAAAGCAAAAACAAAGGGCAAATCTCACCAGTAAAGATGAACGTGTTGTATTTGGCAAGTTGTAGAGAGGGGAGGGGAGGGGAGGAGATGAAAGGAAAGGATTGTATTTCCATAGACAACACCTTGGTAGAAAAAGTACAAGAATAAAGGCCCTATTCAATAACACCAAATGAAACACCAAAAACGGAGAATATTGTGGGAAGGAACAGGAGCAAAAATGATGAGAAAATAAGGTAAAGAACCAAGAGAAATGAATGCCTTAAAAACCAAAAGAAGAGATGGCTTCTCTGTCCCTCCCAAAAAGGAGTGACACCAGTGACCAGTAATTCATGGAAGATAAAACTAAAGCTTTGCAGTTGCAACTTTCAACATTTAATTGTTCTGTATCCACTAACTTTACACAGCATGTCAACTCATTTAGGAGTCTAGCCTAGGGATACATTTTACTACTAATGTATCTTGAGGTTATAAGGAAGTAGCATAAAACATGTAATGTTAGTACATTAATATTTTCTCGGCCACTTTCATGGCTGCATTTTAACACTCTTAAGTAGATTTATTATAGCAGTCTTTCCAGGGTAGTATAATTTCATTGCTAGAGGTAGATCAGATTTTCGTTTCGGAATGTCAATTATGTCCTGTAGGTTATTACTTTCCAAAGATCCTTCAGAATTCTGAATTGCAACTGGGTGTTTTTTAAAGCATTTTCTCTTAGAGCATCCCCTACCACTCTTAAACCACAGCAGACACCAAAAAGAAGTCACAGAAAAAGAATGAAAACTGAAAGAATATCATTATTAAGATGTATTTGTTAAACTGAAGCAAATGCCAAAGCAAAGGTCAGCAGAGATGGAAGTAATTAATTCACCTAAAATTAATATTTATCATGTAAATATGTAACATGAATAATTTAGGAACGTGTGTCCTTTCATACCAAGTATGAAGAATACTAATGAACTTCTTAAAGTCTTTGCAAAAACAGTTGATTTTCCCTAAAAACGTAGCTTTTATTCCATCAAATTTAGACTCTTGTTAGTTTCTCTCTGGGATCACTTAACATTTCCCAATAGGAAACATATTCAGTATACTGGCATCCCAGGGGTGACATGCGAAGTCTATAAACGTGTGTGAAGGGAGAACAATTAGGCTGTGGGCTTGAGGATTATACACAGTGGATGTTCAGTCATCACCTGAAAAAATGAAAGCTTATCTTATAAAAGAGATAGAAATCTCTCAAAACAACTCCCCGAGCTAAGAAGAAGATACTCATTTCAAGCAATCGTTTCGGTGTAACCATGAAAAACCTGCACTATGACCATCTCATGTTGTACTTAATTTGAAGAACAATCTACACTCTTCTTTTTGCGGATTCACACCATGTATTTGCTAGATGACTTGTGTTCACATATAACCAAGATGTGAAAAAGACCCTAACACAGAATAAAATACTTTAACTCAAAGATAAAATTGTTTAGTACAAAAAATACTGAAAGCAAGGGATATGAAATTCACATAAACCTCCTTTACTAACTTGGTGCATTGTGTCACACAGGGATTGGTAATGACTACCTTAGCACAAAGGCAGGAGGCATGAATGACTTTATTCATTGGTATATTCCCTACTATTAACTGGCACACACCATAAGAGACAGAAAAATTCTTATCCTTGGAGTTAATATATTTAATTTCCAGAATATCAGAATGTATGTTATTAAAGTACTCACAAGGTCTTCAGTATAATATTCACAATTTGGTATGCAATTTTTTTCAGCGGAATTATATCATCAGAATATATTCTAAGTTGGAGATAGCATCCGCAAACAATAGGAAAAATATATCTAATTGACACTGGAGAGTGTCTACATTTTATTACTGCCCTGCTGTTAGCTACGGGTAACCCTCCCAATTCTGACAACTATTCCCCCACAATATTCAGGGAAGCAGAATTTCCACTATATCATTTCTGTAGAAGAAAGGCTTGACAAGTTCCCTACTGAGAGTGTCAGTAGTAAAACTGTTGACAGGTTCTGTTCAGCCAGCTGATCAGATTTCCAGTAGGCTGTGAAGGATGTCCAGCTAAGACTGGCATGAAATCTATCCTTATCAGAATATGACAGGAAGATGCCTTGCCTGTGGGGAGGTTATCTGTATGACTCCTAGAAAGCTGATGAACGTGTTGCTGATCATTGGATGCATGGAAGTAAAATGATTTTCTTTGCAGTTCAAAGTAAAACAAAAGTAGATTTTACCTGCAGTAACTCAAGAAATTCTTTTATTTAGCACAGATTGAACATATTTTTAAATGAGAGAAACTGAAAGTATTGGTTATAAGGCACCATTAAGCTTAGTGACTTATGGGAAACTTAAGAGCATTCCTCTGTAGAAAACATATTAAATATCCACACTAAAATCTGTATATTGTCTGTGGGATTGGGGGTTATTAAAAAAGACAGCCTAGATAATAAGACTTTATGATGACAGAGAATGAGATATAGCAGCAGAAAGCCTTGGAGGATCGATGGGAAGATAAAGGGATGGATGATTGAACTGTGAATGGATAGATGGAAGGATAAGTAAAGAACTCACATTCCCTCATGTTCAACATAGAAATCAGAAAATAAAATGGTCACACTATTGTAAATGGAAAATAAATTATTTATCACTGTATTTTATCCACAGTTTCCACAAATAAAACCACTCTAGAAAAAGCTTTTTGGAAAAAGAGAAAAGAAAAGAAAGGCTATGTTGATAGTGCCATTTCCCTGTTATTTTGGAAAGTAAATATCAGAGGCAGGGCACAATGGCTCACACCTGTAATCCCAGCTCTTTGGGAGGCAGAGGCGGGCAGATCATGAGATCAGGAGATCAAGACCATCCTGGCCAACATGGTGGAACCCCGTCTCTACTAAAAATACAAAAAAAAATTAGCTGGGTGTGGTGGCGCGCACCTGCAGTCCCAACTACTGGGGAGGCTGAGGCAGGAGAATTGCTTGAACCCAGGAGGCAGAGGTTGCGGTGAGCCGAGGTCGCGCCACTGCACTCCAGCCTGGTGCCTGGTGACTGAGTGAGACTCTGTCTCAAAAAAGAAGAAAAAAAAAAATTTCCGGGCGCAGTGGCATGCTTCTGTAGTCCCAGCTACTCGGGAAACTGAGGCGGGAGAATTGCTTGAACCCAGGAGGCGGAGGTTGCGGTGAGCCGAGATCGCTCCACTGCACTCCAGCATGGGCGACAGAACAACACTCAATCTCAAAAACAAAAACAAAAACAAAAAAAGAAAAGAAAAGAAATATCAGAGCACGTTGAAGTCTAGTGCTGCATCTTTCCTATTCCTCACTTTTGAAACAAAAGGTAGGTAAGAATATTTTACATGATAGTTCCACCTGAAGTGTGTATCAGAGAACCGTGGATCACTGATACCTAAGAGAGTCTCCATAGATTCCCAGATGCAATCCTTAAGCCATTTAGGAAAAGGAGTGGTTTATTTTTACTTTCTATTTTGCTAGAAATATATCAAACCTGTCCCATGAAGAAAAATGAACTAGAACATATGATGGCTACAGATTGGAAACAGTGCATTGTAAATACAGTGGAATATAAAAAGCACTGGAAAATAATATGGGAGTTCTTCAAATAATGCTATTTTGTCCAGCATTTTGTTATAACATTGACAAGAAAAAAAAAAAAAATCAATCCCCACCTAAGCCCAATGTCTCTGTGGAGTGCAAATTTCCTCCTATGTCTGCATGAGTTTTCTCTGGGTGTTTTGATATCCTCCAATGTCTCAGAGCTCTCTATATCAGGTGAATTGAAATGTCTACAGAGTCCCTGTCTGTGTGAGTGTGCGTGTGTGCGTGAGTGCACCCCGAGGTGGGATGGCATGTTATC